GCAAAGAAAATCATGTCAATGGTGCGCGTAAAACAAGAGCATATCGTTGTGTGCGTGTGTGTGTATGTGCATGTGTGTGCGTGCGTGTGTGTGTGTGTGTGTGTGCGCGCGCGCGCGTGTGTGTGTGTGTGTGTCATGGCGTCGGCTTGCAAGCAATGAGTGGACAAACCTTGCCGGTGCCAGGTGGGCCAGCAAACAGCACGGCGCGACCAGCCATCTTCTTTGCCTTGATCAGGTCCACGACAATGGAGGCGGCCTGTTTTCAAGATGCAAAACACCAGGAATGATCGATAGCAAGGCGGGTTAGCGGTATCGCACACACTTGAATGAAGTGTTGTGTTGCAGTGACAGAGATATGGGCGTGGCACGGTGGTGAAACAACAACAACAACAACAACAGCAGCGGTGTTGAATGAGTATGCGGGACAGAACAGAAGAGCACACGACGAGGATGCCAAGCGGGTTGTAGTGCGGGTCGCCCGTGTCTTTGCTTACCTCACGCGCCTGGTCCTGGCCAACGAGACCAGCTCCCACAGGGAGTGCCTGCAAAACAACAAGAGTAAGAGCCACGGTCACAGTGCACACAAACACAAACACGAACAAGAACACGAGCACAAAGAAGCATGTTGTCACTGAACATGTCGGGCTTGAACCACGCACTCGCGCGCACACACTTACAAACGCACACACACACACATGTGCACGTACACATGTTCACGCACACGTGCGCGTGAACACGCGCACACACCTTGCCATCGTCGCCAATGCCAAGACCCTTGACGTGGCTGTGGGGAGCGATGCGCTGTGGGCGCGTGGCACTCTCGACTGTCTCAATCTTCATTGCTGGCGGTGTGGCTGTAGCGTGGCGGTGGTCACTGGCTGGCGGCTGCCTTTACTTTCTCTGGTTGGTTGCTGTGTATCCGTGTATCCGTGTGTGTTTGGTGGCCTTCGTGGCTGTTGCTGGCAACAGAAAAATGGTAATGCTTTCAGGTCATTTTCGGTTGTGCAGAAACGAGTCAAGTCTTTGTTGAGTGCTGTGGAGGAACATGTTGCGTGCAAGGAGGACGATGTGGGTGCTGGTGCTGGTGCTGGTGTTCATCGCATTGTTGCTTGGAACAGCACAGGTGGATGCGGGCAATGGGGCGCCCAAAGGTGCGCACACATGCTTGTGTTGTGTGTACGAACATGGACAGGGGGGGGGGGGGTGGAAGCGCGATTTCATGGGGAGAAGCAGAACGGAGTAAGACTGGTGGGGGTGGTGAGTGTTTGCGTGAGTGTGTGACGTGGCCAACCGTGTTGTGTGTTCATATCAATACATGGTCTGTGTTCTTCTCGCGTGCGTATGGTTTGGATCGCAGGTCAATCGGAGCAAGAAGAGTCGTGGATCCACCGGCTCATGGATCTGGTGGACGATGACAAGGATGGCAGCATCACCATCCGCGAAACCCAGGATGTGCGTGGCTCCTTGGTTTGCATGGCAGCTGGTTCGGGTTCAGCTGTGTGCGAGTATTGCGGATAAAGTAGGGGGAGAGAAATCGCAAGGGAGCAGCCAATTAAGATCGTGTTCTCCTTGATCCCGTCTCTGTGACACTTGACTCGTGGCCTGACAAGTATATGCCATGTATGATGGTTGACAATGTGTGCAGGTGATCAACAAGGAGCTCATGGGCACGCATCACACTGTCGAGGAGTTTCACAAGGTTTGAAATTCGGATGCAATCCTGCGAAAGTGCTATGCGCAAGGGCAGGGTGGAGGAAGTGTGTTGCGGTGAGAACATGGGGAAGTGTAGTACTGTGTTGTGGCGCAGGCGCTGGAGAACCCATGGCTGACCTCACCCGCCCCCCTCGTCCCCTCTCAATTGCCAACTGCTAGGGCGATGATGAGCGCGACGAGGGCGAGCTGCTGACGGAGTGGAGGAGCAACCCCATCCGCCAATGGACAACAGACCAAGTTGCAGAGTGGGTGCGCGGCCTTGAGCTTGACAGCTGCGTTGACAGCGTCCTCAAGTATAAGCTCACGGGCAAGGTGTGTGTGTGTGTGTGGTTAACGTTGTCTGCCGTGCTTGCATGGCGTCTTCCTTCCTCAATTCCGTGCCGTACTTCACAACTCGCCTCTCATTCGCTGCTGCACGCGACACGTGACATGACAGGACCTTGCGCACCTTGCTGTGAGCCACGACACGATCGAGAAGCTGTGCGGCAGCAAGGAGGATCGCCAGCGCCTCAAGCTGCGCAGTCTCGACGCCGTCCTCTTTGGCCCGGGCCCAGACAACACGTGCGGCACCTGCTCATGACTTGCAGTGTCGGTGGTGGTGGTGGTGGTGGTGGTGTGTGTGGTGGTGGTGGTGGTGGTGGTGGTGTGTGTGTGTGTGTATGTCTGGTTGTCAGTTTGCTTGTCTATTTCTGGGTCTGCGGGCGCGTGTCAAGCACAAGTTGACAACTGCCACTCTGCCTGTGTACATGGCTGATTGCTATTGGTTCAGACGCCTGTCGTACATCATCACCGTTGGTGCCGTCGGCGTCAGCGTTCTGCTCCTCCTTGTTGTCGGCTACTACGACTCAAAGGTCGGGCGTTGGCGGAGACTGTCTGTCTGTCTGTGTGTGTTTCTGTCTGTCTGTGTTTCTGTCTGTCTGTCTGTCTGTCTATGTGCGTACGTATACCTGCACGCGACTACTGTCCTGCGGGCGCCCGCTGCTATGCTTCTCACACCCTGCACGATTGCTTTTGCACACATACGCGCGCGTACACACTCACGCATTTGTCTCTACGCACTGCTGCGTGTGCAGACGAAACGGCTTAACAGTGAGCTGAAGCGGGTGGCGAAGGAGGCGTCAGCAATTACGGATCTGGAGGGCAAAGTGGAGCAGTATGAGGCCACGCTCTCAGAGGACGCAGGCCGCACGCAGGTACACACACACACACACATGATGGGCTGTGCGCTTGCTGGGCTTTGTGTTGCTCCATTGCACATACAAGCATAACTGACCCGCGAATGGTTGCCATTGTGTGCACATACACGGCACGTGTGCCTTTTCTTCTACGTCTGGACGCTGACAGAAGGAACTCCAGAGCATGTCCGAGGAGAGCGCAAAGGCGAAGGACGAGGTAAGCGCGCGCACATACACACGCGCAAACTGGTGCTGGTTGCTCCTCTTTTGTTGGCAGTTTGGTTGCTCACCCTCGACGCTTGTGTGTGTGTGTGTGTGTGTGTGTGTGTGTGTGTGTGTGTGTGTGTGTGTGTGTTTGTGTGTGTTTGTGTGTGTGCGCGCGTGTGCAGGCTGATGGCCTTCGCAGCGAAATGAAGCGACTCCGGGATCATCAGAAGACTCTCAGGACGAAACTGAAGGGTTAGAAGCCACGTTTATGAGTGTGTGCATGTATGTGCATGCGTGCGTGTTTGTATGCATGTGCTTTTTTTGTATGGCGGCCAACTTTCGTTTGCCACGCCCCACTGATGATATTGTTCTTGTATCCGCTCTTGAACACGCTCCCTTCTCACACACACGTGCGCGCGCACACATGTGCGTACCACTGCAGATCTGCTCCAGCAGTCGTACGAGCAAGAGACGCAGCTGTTGACGCTGGTCAAGGAGTTGACGCAACAGCGCAAGCAGCAGGCGCGACGGGAGGCAGAGAAGCTCGATGCACAGCGCCGCAGTGTCTTTGGCGTCCTTCGTCTCGCCAACAGCGTGGTATGTTGTGTGTGTGTGTGCGTGTGTTGTGTGTGTGTGTGTGTGTGTGTGTCTACGGCTACGTGTGCATTGGCTCCACCCTCTCTTCATTCACTCACGCACGCGCGCGCACACACACACACACACACCATCATGACAGCGGCCGTCGCAGTGCGAGACGGAGATGCACTCTGTGCTTGAGCTGTACGAGCTGCTTGGGCAGGTGGCCAAGGAGCGCTCCGAGCGGTGGACGCGGCTGCAGAAGGCGGTTGGCTTCCGCCTCGTCACATCGCCACGCGCGTCCACCTCTGCCCTTGCTGCAACCATCCTCACATCGTCGTCGTCCTCCCTCCCGGCCACGGCGGCAGCGTCGCCACCGACGCAGAAGAAGGGCGCAAATCCCAGGCGCACCGCGAGCACGCCCAGCGGTCGCACGCGCAGCAGCAACAGCACCAGCAGCGCGCGCGGTGGGGATGATGACGCTGATGATGACGGTCATGGCGATGGAGGCGCAGGACAGCAGCAGCAGCAGCAGCAGCGTTTCCACACGCTTCCGCACCGCCTTCATCACCATCGTCATCACCACCACCATGACAATGATGGGAACGGGGGCAAGGGCAAAGGCTCGCCGCTGGCCAACGGGTCTGGTGCGGTTGACGCGTGTGCAGGCGATGATGGCGACAGCAATCCCGCCATCCTCGTATCCAGCCCACATGCCACTTCCTGATGTGTGTGTGTGATGAATGTGAGAAGTGTGCGTGCGTGTGTGTGATGTGTGAGAGATGTGTGAGAGATGTGATGTGTGTGAGATGTGTGTGTGTGTGTGATGTGTGTGTGTGATGTGTGAGAGATGTGATGTGTGTGTGTGATGTGTGTGCGCGCATGGGATGCGTGAGAGAGAGAGAGATTAGTGTGTGTGTGTGACCCTAACCTCCTTTGTCATGACTGTCTTCTTCTTCTTCTTCTTCTTCTTCCTTGACCGGCCCCCCCCCCCAAATCTCCTTGGGCGCTCTTCTGCCTCTTCTTCTGACGCGCCCGCCTGCCTGCCTGTTATCCCGCTCGGTCCATGCTTCAAATAAGCAAACCAGGACACAAGGCAAGAGAACACCACGTTGGGTTGTGTCACATCAATTCCGTTTTGCTGACACAACATACATCTCAACCTCGTCCACCAAACACACCACGCCAAAGATGAGCCAGAAGTTATTGGCGGAGCGGTTTGCATCCGCGTGGGAGCGATTCCCGGTGAGGCATGACGAGCACAGGACAGTCGCTGCCGTGCAGTGGCTGGTGTGCTGTGGCGCGTCTGTTGTGTGTGTGTGTGTGTGT